CTGGTGTGGCATCCAGCAATCTAAACGTTGAGTTTACTACTACCTAACTACTGGTAGTAAGGTAGAAAGACAAATGAAACCTGAATACATATGGCAGAAATTAAAATGTTTAAATGGATGCATTTAGTAACAAAAAAGCTGATTTTGAAGTTTGTGAAAGGAGTAGGAGCCGAAGGCCAAAAAATGATGTGAGAAACAATGACGTAAGATATTTTTGTGAAGGGGATTAGTATGGTTTTATTCTAGGATAGAAACCTATGGAGAAGTACAATAAGAGATAGGTGCCAAGATGAACGATAATAATACCCAGATAATAAATATATATGTAATTTCAACATTTGTTATGAATCTAACTTCACAAAATGTTTGTAAATCACTTAAGTAATATATGAATGAGAACTTCAGCTAATTGTTTAGATAGTGTATTTAATATGCACTGTTGCTAAAATTTGTTAATAATAAAGTCTCTAGTCATAATCTATATAAAACATGTTGATAGCAATGCTTATTAGGTTTTGTGATAATTTATCAATGAGTATTAAAATGTTTAATAAAATATATTTTGATATTAACGACGGATAAATACATTTATATTAATTTTATTTTAATTTTATATTTAATTATAGTTTCAGACTAGTTTAATTCCTGAATAAGGTAAGTAAATTTACTATTTCTGTAGATATTGTTCAGTGATACTTTATACGTGTATATTTAGTATGTATACTAGTCCTCTTACCTTAGGGTGTAATTTTGTTCCGGAGATTAGCAATCATATCAATAAAGATTTTAGTTTTTAGTATAAAATAAGCCCTTATTATATTAAATGTTAACATTTTTGCTTGCACTCTACTCTTTTCTAAATCATAGTGCCTTTATATTCGTTACAACAAAATATCACATCTCAACAAAAACGTGCAAGATCCAAAACTTAATTTAGGTGTAAAGAAATAATATTTCTTATTGAAGAATAAAAAACCTATTTGATTTGTTTCAAATCAGTATGTAAGGCGGAATATCTGAAACACATATTTCAGTCAAACAAAGGTGGCGGCATTTGACTGGGAACACCATGCACAACAAGTAGGTGAAATTAAATTAGAGACCTCAAGAATTACTAAGTTACCAATGAAATAAAAGTAAGCATCAATCTGAGAAAATTAACTCTTTCTACACATTGGAGAAAATCTTCCTAATCTACAATTTTAGCATCGGAGGATTTTTCGCCCCACTCGCCTCCAGATGATGATGGCAGTTCATCTTCTAGTAAGATCTTCTTTGTAATTCTCTGCTTTGCAATTTTGATTGCTCATTTGGCCGTCTTAGCTTCTATATTCTCAGGCGTTGTCAAAAGTTGAGCATGCTGTTTCTTTTTCGCTACGGCAGGAGCATCACATTTTGGTACTGATGACACAATTTGTAGAAGTTTCGTAGGAGTTGCTTTGGTGGTTTCATGAGAATGTGGGTCAGTAGGCTTCTTCTTTGGAGTATTAAGTGAGAGTGAACCAGATGTGCTGGGTTGAGGATCTAAATCTTCTGTGCTTTTTGTGTTCTAATGGTTATACATTAGAACACAAAAACCAACATATATATCTTGGAATAACTCTGGACCGGTCCCTCACCTACAAATAACATTGCATAAAAACGAGAGGGAAAGTAACAGCTAGGAACAGCATACTCAGAAAGCTAACGGAAAGTAAATAGGCCGCACGTCCTGGCGTTTTAAAAACAACGGCACAGGCACTGTGTTTCTCAACTGCTGAATATGCGTGCCCGCTTTGGGGCAGATCTGCCCACACCAAACAAGTTGATACTGTGCTAAATGAGACATGCAGAATAGTAACGGGGTGCATGAAACCAACTCCACTTTCAAATCTATATAAAGCAGCGGGTTTGGCAGAACCCTCAACACGCAGAGGCGTTGCAAGCACATAGAGAAAATTAAACAGATCGCAGACGAGCGACATGCCCTATACAAAGCTCGAACACCACGAAAGCGACTAAAATCTAGAAAAATCTTCATTAGAACAATGCAGGATAAACCGCCTAAGTATTTTTCTCTTCCCCAGGTTTAATGAACCGGCCAGTCCCTAGACTTTAATACGTGGAAAACTATGAATAGGATAAGAACGGGGGTCGCTACAGTAAAATCAAACATGGCAAAATGGAGAAAAATAGACCAAGATGATGTGAACTGTGACTGTGTAGAAACACAAAATATGGAACATTTTGTTACATGCAAAAACTGTCCTCATCGATGTACCCTTAAAGATTTGTGGCTCGCTAACAAATATGGAACCGACGTAGCCCGATACTGGGCCGAAATTTTATAAATAACATGTTCGGACACGATAAAGTAAGTGAGGATCCAAGGTTGAGCTAACACTTTCGTCGTCCTTGTCCATAGAGTTGGACTCCAAGGTTTGTTGTAGGTAAGCGTAATCAGGAATAGAGGAGGGCGCAAGTGGAAACACCCCGCAGGCCCGGAAGCTTGCTGAACACGTAGACATTGTTGCAGATTGTGACTAGGCTTTCTGTAGAAGTTGGCCGAAATGCCTACGTTCTATCCTTTTTCCAGGATTTGTATTTTCCCATTCGATAGCTGCACTTCGGTAATAGGCCTTCAACGGTTTGAAAATGGATCAGTCGAGAGGCTGTAAGTAATGAGTCGTGTGGTTGGGAAGGTAAAGAAAGTGGACATGATTTTCCAGCGCTATCTCTAATATGTCTGACGAGTTAGTGTGAGATCTGTGTACGTCGAGCAGTAATAGGCATGTAACAGCTACCTTCCTTGGAATAAAGTGGTTTTCCAGCCAATTTTTAAAGAGGTCTTCAGTTATTTTCCACCCATCACCACTTCAGAACCGTTAGGCATATTATCGAGCCACACTTGTTGTTTGTATACACCTTTGAACACTACGTAGGGAGGTAAAAAACGTCCCTCTGCATTAAAACAGGCAACAACTGTCACTGTCTCTCCTTGTTCTTTTGATTGCCGCACTTGAAGTGCATTGCTGCCTTTGGCCGCTATAAATTCTTGCGGTGAGTTGTTCAATTGCAAACCTGACTCATCTACATTGTTTATATTTCCGGGTTTGTTTAAGAGGTTTAACGATTCTAACGTATTTTTTAACAAATTAGAATAATCATTCACTTCTTCCTTTACCATGCTATCCGCGCGGGTCATAGACACTCGTTGAGCCTTTCGAATCGCCAATAATGGCTTCCGTTTGAGAAATGCGTTAAGCCATCCCCTTCCTGCTTTACGTTTCTCTATATTGAAATGGCCGTAGCAAACTCGGCCCATTTGTTTAGCCAGGTTGAAAGCCATTCGGCAAAGTGCATCCCTTGTTGGCGCGTACCCTGCAGCCTGCAATCTTTTGATATGAAGCACTAATTTTTGTTCTGCAGGCATTACATTTATTGCTGTTCTTTGTTTTGAGTCGGAATCGTAGGTTTTTTTCGGTATATCATATTTTTTAGCTGCACCCCTAACTGAAGAGCCGTCTGCAACATCCTTGAAAGCAGCACAAAGATTATCTTCAGTCCAGCAGCCCCGTATGTTCTTATACTTTTAGCTAGGCATATATACAAAAGAAAAATAAGTCCTATATTAAAAATTAGAAATATTTTATTTATATGGGGGATATGACGCCCGTCAACGTCCCGACAACAACAACGTGTCACATCCCCGACTCGACGCCATTTTAAGTAAAAAAATGCAAATAGTAAACAAGAAGGGCTATGTGTCTAAATAAGTCATGTTCTTAAGTTTAAAGAATGCGCAACAACGTAGAATACACTAAAGCAACAAAAAATAAAAAAAGACAAATTAAAACTTTGAAATTACTAAGATATCATTTTTATTGTGTTTATCTGCAAAAGTGTACACAACACCAAAGCTCCCTCCACGACGAATCGCTATACACTAACTTAGACATGCTTCATCTGGTGGCAATGGTGAATACTACCGTTTTCCAAAACATTTCCCGCGCGAGCATGCAGAATTTGAAAGATATTGAAAATGCGTCATATCCATGACCGCGTATTATCCCTCACGTTTACCTTATCCCTGAGTGTCAGTTTATACTACTTTAGCTGATGATATTGCCGTGCTAGTTGCTGGCGAAGATCATGAAAAAGCCACAAAAAAAAAATAACAGGTAGCTTAAAAGCTGACGAAATAAATTAAACAAGACGAAATCAGTATAAATTAATTTTACAAACAAAAAGGACCAATATATTTTTGTTAGTTTAAATAACAATCAGATACCATATTACGATGCGGTAAAATATTTTTAAGGGAATAAAAGAAGAGTACACAATCAAGTATGAAAAAATGTATTGATTATTGGGAATATGATTCAACCTTTCAATCTACAATAAAATACTCTTATATAAACAGTGTTAGTAAACGTAATTTAGGTTCCATCTACATCTAACGATTTCAACGTAAAGTACAAAGATGCATTAATCCTTTGACTCATGATGTCTAAAATTGTAGACACTAATTTTCTAGTATGCGCGCTAGACACAATTCGCTTCGTTCTACAATTATGTGACATCGTATACGTTCACAGACATTCTGTAATAAGTGTTGCCTAGTTTACAGTGACGGTTTATTTTATATGGTGTTTATCTTCGTTACATATTCTATTCAGGTAAGCTCTCGTAATTCGATAATTATATCAAAAATTATTGGTTATCCAGTCAATTCTATGCTTTTATTTGGAATACAAGCATTAAATAACATGTAAAAATTTTCGTCATTTATTTCTTGTAGTGACTGTAACAGATCCCTAAAATTTGGTGTTTCCAATTGTAGACAATTGTACAGTTCAATTGTACATCAAGTGACAGAATGTGGCTACTGCTCAGATCACGGATTATATTATAAAATTGGACGTTATCAAATAAATAGAATGTAAAATGTTTTGCTTTAAAATAATAATAGAGAAAAATAGAGAAATAATTCAGGTGACTCCTCACGTGTACACCTCAGAATGAAGATGTACATAAATAAACCTGAATACATTATGGAAAGCGACGATAGTCCATCAGATGAACATCTTTCTAACGTTGAAAACGAAGACATTTCACTATCTAAAAAAGTGAAAAAATCACTGGAACAGTACGTAGACATACAATTTGAAGGAAAATTTTTTCCTGGCCAAATCACTTATGTCTCCAACACAAGAGCAATGGTAAATGTGATAGAACGTGATGAAAAACAATGAAAGTAGCCTGAAAAAAGGAAGAAATATTTTATTTGATGTGCAAAGCGTTGACATTCCAGAATTAAATGATACCTATCCTTGAATTAGCCTAGCTGTTTTATAAAGTTTTCTAAGATTTATTGTTTTTACCTATTTAACAACATTTAAAAAATTGGTGGAAATCATGAATTATCCATATTTGTCTGTCCGAGAACACAACTCCTCCGTTACTATAACCGATATAATGGCAAGTGAGGCGTAAAATGAGAGTTTACAATCCAATGATCGTATTAAAGGAAAGAAATTTAACATTGAACTTTTGGTTTCTGAGTTGCAACCAGAAGTACACATTTAAAGTCGCCGAAATAGTACAAGAAATAAGCAAGCAATTTAATTAAACCCAGTAACAATTCATTGGAGCGAGGTGTATTAACTCGAGTAAAAAACAGATGTCACTTCACACGCTGCAATACTCCAGACCATCCCTTTCCCCCCTATAACACTCCGATGCGCGATAGAGGCACAACTATCAGCCAAATGCTCTTCATGTGGAGGTCCTGGGTAATAGAACCCCAACATGGTTTCCTAACCGAATGCATAACTCAGGAGAGCGCATTGTCGCTTACTGTTATCTTAATGTGGCTTATCCGCGAACTAAAATTGCTTACTTGGGCTCAAGTCTCCGCTCTGAGTCAGGCTTAGGTCGGAGACTTGCTGCTCAAGGGGCTGGGCCCTACGTGCTCGGCCTTTGGGGTTTTTGTTAATTTTTTTGTTGGCATGCGCCGGTTTTTGTTATTATTTTTTTTTATTTTTTTGGTGGCTGAGGCCGGTTTTTTTGTGTATATTTTGGTATTTGTAGGTAGCTCTAAAACAAAAATCAAAATTAGTGCAATATCTATACTATGACATTGAAAAATATGTAAAAATATGAAACAATATAATAATATAGAGCTTGTCCTCCTTAAGGCAACTGGATCCTCGTTGTATTGGCGATTGTCCACGAGTGTTTTTGAGCTACAAACTGTCTTCATTGTGCATTGTTGTTGTTTTTTAAGTGTTTTTTCTCTGGTGTTTTGTTTTCTCTCTGGTGTGATTTTTAATTTTCTCTCTGGTATTATTATATATTGTTTTAGTCTACTATTTGTTGCTTAGGTCTTTTGTGCTTCCATCTATGGAAAGCGTCATACCTCATTATCTCTCGCAGTATGTGACTGGGGTGGTTCTCCATATCCGCGAACCTTATCCTAGCCTTTTCTTTTTTTCTTTCATTGTGTAAGTCACTCTGATTTGTTGCAATTCTCTAAAGAGGAATCTTTCGGCTACGTATGTCGGTACGTTGACTGCTTCTCTTAGGCTATTGTTATGTGCCGCTTGTATTTTCTTTTTTGAACTGTTGCATATGCGAGATATGCATATGTTAGTATAGGAAGGATTATACTATTTATTAATCTTATTTTTGTTTTCAGTCTGAATTTGCCTTTTCTTTCTGTTAGGCCTCTTATAGATGCTCTTGCCATGTTGGCTTTTTGTACTGTAGTGTGGCTTCTACGCTAAATGTTAAGCCTTTGTCCATGATACAAGAAATATATTATTCGACGTCCCGTAAATACTTTTTACGGTTTTATGTCACTTCCGGTTAAAAATTTATGATCTAAAGGTCATAAAGTACTTACAAAGTTCAATTGTTGCTTGTTTATTTAGGTACTCTATTTTTCAGTAAATAAAATGTTTTTTAAATTCTTGTTTTATTCGCTTCCAATATATATTTTTTAGTAACTTGCTACTGTAATTTGTCTTTGTAAACCATGCACGGGTATTTCTTTGTCACACGGTTGCAATTTCCTTTAAATATCACAGAAAAACTTACGAGTCATAAAGAAAACTGCATGCATCGGGCCTAAAAAAGTGGTGAAGATGAGGAAATCTTGGTGGAGCCAAAAGGAGTTTTGGTAACTAAGTCGCGCCGAAATCTCATTAAAAATTCGTTAAAAAAATGTATAGTTATATAAAAACTAAACTAATCAATACTATAGTATACACTACACTATATAAAAAATGTCTATATAATAGACTAAATTTCAAAATATTGTCGCTGCGAATACTAAATAGGTACCCATGCAACTATTATAGTGGCCAGTGGGTGAAGACGGATAATATATTTTTTAACGGATCTGCACTATCTATTTTTCTCAACTATCCCTAGCGACAGGCTGACATCACGTTGTCATGGCAACCGTGAACGCTTATTCAGATGGATCTCGCATTTCAGAAATGATATTCAGCTATTCCTGAATCATACACAGTAAGTGACACAGGTCAGGACTTGACTGTCAAGTACCGCACCGCTAATAAAGCAAGCTATATTTTTTAATTTTTAGATTAATTAAAAGAGAATAAATAATTGATTTCAGAATTTAGATATAATAATGTTGCTTTTATTTTTTATTTATTTGTCTCAATTTAATTATATTTTTCTGGTGAACCTCACCTTCACTTATTTCACCTGGCTGGTCGCCGCTGCGGGTGACTTTGTGACAACTTTGTTTGAAATTTTTTTGATTTCTATAACATACAGCGAATTATAGTTTCCACTGAAACAGGGAGGAATGAGCTTTCAGTTTGTATTTTTAAAAATTTAATAAAACGAAAGTATGTATTCTATCATTAAAAAACTTAAAAGAGTGTCACAAAGTAACCTCATTCTACAGTATATATATATATATATATATATATATATATATATATATATATATATATATATATAATCTATGGTCATTTTGTAAACATTATTGTAATGCTTTCTGTATGTCACTTGCATGTCTGCTATATTGGAGGTAAGCTATTAGGTAGCTGCTTAACGCTTTACTTACTTAACTTAAGTAAAAAAGATTATTTGAGAGTTTATGTTTGAAAATTCAAGATATAATTATTAAAAAAAATTAGTTTATGGCTTAGGTTTTGGGACTCTGCATATACCGATTTTCTACGATGGAAAGGCTAATTTTTAAGATATATTTTACTAAAACACAAAAAAAAGACGAAATTACCATCTAGTGTGGATTCTATTGTTTAAGTAATTTTAATTAAGAAATGAAAATTTAGAAGGCCCGGAGAATTGAACTCAAGACCTTTTGAGCTTATAAGACATACATGGTCGTATAAATAAAAAACTGGAGGAAAAAATAGATGATAGTCAGTTTGAAGATATGAAAAATTAGTCCAAATTCTAAGGACACAAAATTGAAATCAGGGGACGAGTTAGGCAGGGATGTAGGAGTTCTGAGATATTACGTGTTTTCGATACTACAATGTGGGCTTGAAAGCTGGACACTGAAGCAAGTACACATAAATAAGCTACAGTAACAGAAAGATGTTTAAAATAGCAAATGAGCAAAGAATACGAAATAATAACACATAAATAGAAAGTTACAATATTTGGGATACGTAATGAGAGGACAGCGATATAAAAAGCTAATATTGATCATGCATGGAAAGATAAGAGGTGGAAGGAGTGTAGGAAGAAGGAGAATGTCATGGTTGAAGAATTTAAGGGACTGGCTTCAATGCAATTCAATGGAACTCTTTAGAGCAGTTCTTTTTTATCTCTTCAGTGTTTAAGTTTATATATCTGGATTTCCATATATTGTTTTGTTTCTGGTAGCTCTTGATTTATATTTTTAAACATGACCATTTTCCATTCTTTTATTTTCCTATGACCTCCTTGTACTATGTGCTTAATTCTGAATCTTCTGTGTGTATACTATAAAGTTTAAAATCCACTAGGAAACTAAGTTCCTGTAGCTGGCTGTATACCATGTATCACAACATTTTTTATTTCAAATCCTTTATAAAAGGTATATAATAAAATACCCAAACGGGCTATATTACAATTACATTACAGAACGTTTTCGGAATGTTAATTCCATCATCAGTGAAACGAAGTATACATGCCATGAGCCACTAAAATATATGGGTAAAACCCGTTAAATGTTGTTAATTTATAGTTGTGTATTACAAATTAGGATGTTCAAGGTACCGTTGGAATTGGTAACATGGCGACGTATGACTCTACATAGGTTACATGGTCCTGAGACAAAGTGTCTCCTGTCTTCGAGTATATATATATAAATATTTGGTAGGTAACTTTCGGGAAAACGTCAAATCAAGGATCGGCTAGAGATGGTATAAGCCAGTTTGGTGTAGAACTTTATTCTAAATGTGAAATTTTCGGTGATAGGCTGTCACCTCCATCAGCACCTAAATGGAAAACCTATTGGGTATAAGTGGTGGAAATAAACATTTAAAAACCTACATTGAAAATGTTCAGTTGGTCCTTGTGGTGAAGAACACTGTCAGAAACATGTTAAAAATATTAAAAAATACATTTAAAATTTTAAATAAAAACATTACAACACAAAAGGGTATTTTTTCAAATACAACACAACAAAAAAGTCTAAACTCTAAAAACCCACAAAAACCTCAACTTCATGTTAAAGGTAGAAAAGAAGAATTATTCTTCTTTTTTGATGACAATGTTTCTGATTTCTGTCAATATCCCGATGTCATATGTAACAAGGTTATATTTACATCTGCACCTCATGGAAGTTGGAAGGAGTCTTTTTAAGAACCAAAATCAGTAGGAAATGAAGTCTTTTCTCAAGTGCAGGTAGGTCATCTGTGTATGTTATATAAGTTCCCTACATTCTCCAATCTGTTACATCTTGTCAAGTCCTGCTGAACCAAAAAGGAATAAATACAACTTAAATTTTCAACATCTTTCTTACAGTTCATAGAAGAGCTACAGTTATGGATGTAGCACATTTCTACGAAATTTCTCTTAAATTGGTTGTCAACCCTTTTTAGTACTTGCACATTTTCATAGTTAGCAATGTGTCCAGTATTCTTAATATGTTGGCTAAAAGCTGTACTAGTAAGCTTCCTCACAACATCACTCTTGTGGAACGCTATTCTTTTTGAGAGTTTCTGGC